AGGCGGCGAAAAGCCATGTGCTGCGGAGAAGACCTGGGCTCGGCTTTGGCAAGTCGGCTTTTGGGAAAGTGTCTCCATGGGGTGGGAACCTCCCAAAGTTGCTGTAGCTCCAGAACATGCTCCTCCGCTATGGATTCGCCAAGAAGTCGGACCTTTGCTTCTTTCCGCAGACAAAGGCGGCAAAAAGTGGCTGGGGTCAGTCGCAAGCCAAGCGCCTGAGCGCCTGGCTCCCAGGTCAAACAAGCCAAGGAACAACTCCTATCCGCGTGGGGGAAGAAAACGAAAGATGATCAACAGCCCACCTGCAAGTGGCCGCAGAGGTTCTTGAAGGGTGCCCAATCACTTTCATTTGCGTAGACCTTCAAGCAAGCAATCAGCAAGCTTACCTCTGGAAAAATATGAATGTGGCAATGATGGATGCCCGATGCGAGGCACCTCAACTGGAGTTGAGGTGGCGATATTGTCACATATCACGCGGCTGCAATCAGCATCCTCACACGTGCCACTTGCAAAGTGCACATGCAGCAAAGCAAAACAATGCTCCTGTGCCAGCATCTTCCAATCGTCAGGCAACTGTGTGTGTGTGTTTGTGTCTGTGTCTGCGTGTGCGTCGACAAGGAGAGCTTGTGTTTATCAGTTTAGTGTCCGTCCAATGCCTGGGACCAATGTCTGTCTCACGTACTCCGTACACTTCTTGGTCCCTTTGCGCAAGGCACAGCATGACAGAAGAAGAAGAAAAAAAAACATTCTCCACTCGGAAACCGCTCCTCCAACAAGTGTTTGCGCAAGCGCCCCAGGCAACCTTGGCCTTAGCCAGATCTACAATCTTCCGGCGCAGGCGTCAGCCGAAGATGAGGCCAAGTCTTTCAATGCCCAATTCTTCTCCTGGCAGCGCACCTCGGAATTCTGCCAGAAACACGTTCACAGTTCTGAACGCAAGTACGCTGCATTCCTCGATGTGAAGCGGGTATCGCGCTTCAAAGGCACCATCAGGATACCTCAAAGAGCAAGGCTCACTACAAGCATGTGGCATATGAAATGAGGGCCTCAAGACTGCATTCACTGGCAAAAGCAGCGCTTGCCACAACCTGCCAAGAACATCATTGGCCTCATGGAATTGAAATGGCCTAAGGCCTTTGTCCTGCGAGCATGGCACACGTGGCAAAAGATCATGTCCCATATTGTTCACAAAGCAGAAGGGTGTCGCGCATAAGTGATGCTTCATACTTTACCAATATGCAAGTCAAGGGAATGCGATGTTGTGGATGCAACATATCGCACGTCCGTATAGCTATGCTTAGAGCCGGAATGCGCACGCAGCAGCAGAGAATGAATCTCACCGTGCTGTGATGAATCAGGTCATGCAAGGAATGATCAACTGCGTGAGCACAATGTCCAGCAAAACAACTACCGGCGCTTGCACCATGCCTTTGGCAGCCATATCATCTTCAAGGATTCAAAGTCTTAGCCTACATGTGGCCAGCAACATGATGTCGCAAAGGTTGCTGTAGCAATAGCTACACGTGCACGGTCAGTCTGGGTCTGCTGGCTTGAGGTCGAGCTGGTTGTGCGCTCATAGAACTGCTTCAAGGGAAAAGTTTGTCATGTGAATCCGAATCAATGCAGGTCATTCGTCTGGAGCAGCAAAGCGGCTTCGACAAACATATCAACCCCCACACAAGCGTGCATGGAAACATATTAAGTACGCAGTTGACCTCCAAAAGCGATTAAACACTTACAACCCTGCAGAAAGCCGTTACTTGCACTGGAACTCATGGCCAGTTAGCATGGGTTGAAGGAGTGGTCCGAATTGTTCGAAACAGCCACCGTAGCAAGAAAAGGGCTAGGGGCCCCTATACACAAAGACCTGGATAAGTCTGAATAATGTGCGCAATTACATTGCTGGTGTAACTGGAATAATCTGTGCCCAGGCAGTTGACCTCTCGTTTATCCGCATACTCCAAAGCGGCAGTACCAGCAACAATCCTCTTCGTGCTTCGATCGACTTCTGTGAGCTTAACTCAGTGCAGCTCAGGAAAGTGTTGCTGTAAGTTGCTGGGTCGGACTGGCCTGCAAGATTCTGGCTTTCAGGTTCAGAGGGCACGAAATTGGCATGTAACTCAGAAAAGGACAAATGAGGATCGGGTTGTTCAAATCATTTCGTATGTTACCATTGTTACCTTGTCTCTTCTTTTTATCTCGCAACACGACAGTGCGCACAACACGGACCCAGAAACGAGCCTGGAACATGGCCCCCATTTTTTGGCCCGAGAAGCGGCGCACGCAGTTTCTTCTTTCGCGGGGTCTAAGGAAACAACTGCCAAGTTTGCGGCCTCCCCATCCTTCAACTGGTGTTGGGCGATCTGGCAACAACCGCCCAGGACGCCAAAAAGAATCGCCACCCGCCCCAGCTCTCAAGCGCGAAACAAGCGCCGGGCTTTGCCAGCAGTAGTAAGGAACATAGGCTTATAGTATCCAATTAACTTCCGTTTTTTGCCCGAAAAAGCTGCCAAAACGGCCTTTTTTCCATCCTGCCGAGCTTGTCACCAAAGATGTCACCCCTATGTCACCCCTACCTTTTGGGTGGAAAATGCCCAAAACGGCCAACTTCCCGAATTCCTGAAAACCTCGTTCTTTTCGGTCAGACAGCAAGTAAGGGGCATATGCCTATCGATTTGCGCGTTTTTTGGCCGAAAACAGGGTCCTGACACGTACGCCCCTCTCGATTTCCGCGCTTGGCCCGAAAAAGCTGCCAAGATCCATCCTGCCGAGCTTGTCACCCTTTGTCACCGTTTTGTCACCCCTAGCTTTTGGGCTGAAAAACGGGCCAATTTCCCGAAGACCTCGTGAAAGTAGTAAGGTAGAAATTTTCTGTTTTCGGCCAAGCCCAGGGTCCTGACACGCCAACCTGCCGAGCTTGTCACCCTTTTGTCACCCCTCTAACACGCCAACCTGCCGAACGTGCTAAAAGTGCGTTGTTTTTCAGCCAAAACACAGGGTCCTCACACGCCAACCTGCCGAGCTTGTCACCCCTTGTCACCCCTAGCTTTTGGGCTGAAAAAAGGCACAAAACGGCCAATTTCCTGACATCCTGAAGACCTCGTTCTTTTCGCTCAGAGAACGGTTCTGGAGGCTTCCAGGGCTCAAAATCACGGCAATATTGAATCATTATTCCTTTCACCACCCTTGTCTGTTAATATCCGACAAATGAAAAGATCGCGGACAACGCTGCTCTTTTCCTGCTAAGGCAAACACGGGGGAAGTCCGTTAAAAAGGCGACCCTGTCTGGCGACAAGGTCTGCAACCATCACCCCGACCTTGTCTAACAACAAAGCCTTGAAAGGTTTACACAGGGATGGGAGGGCGGGCAAAAATTTCACTGTTGTTCAGTGCGTTGCAACAAAGGGGAACCCACCACACCCACCCACTCGAGAAGAATGGCAACGACGGCGCCATTTACATGCATAAATGACAAACCTTGCATAGAACAAATAAAGCAAGGCACACGGAAATTCACCAACAAAAAAGTGAATTTCCCACAAAGGAACAAAGGGAGGCTCAGAAATAAAGACACATCCACCTTTGGTTGACGTTAGTCTTATTCCTTTCACCACCCTTGTCTGTTAATATCCGACAAATGAAAAGATCGCGGACAACGCTGCTCTTTTCCTGCTAAGGCAAACACGGGGGAAGTCCGTTAAAAAGGGGACCCTGTTTGGCGACAAGGTCTGCAACCATCACCCCCTTGCCATCTTGCGAGCATGTCGTCCACAGAAAGCAAGCCAATCGAATTCAACTTTCACACCAAGGCATTCCGATGAAACATCGCCCCTTGAGGGCAAGTCTGCAATATTCGAAGCAGTGTTCACTCTCTCATACCAGATTGACATAGAGTTGCTGTCTTCGCAATCGCAGGTCAAATCGATGATGAGCTGTGCTTTTGAATTTTCACTGCCGCATTTCACAAAGGAGCTCAACGCGCCTTCGTTGTCTGTAAACACGATAACATTCCTTCCCTGAAGCTCAGCACACCACTGCTCCAAAGCCATCAGAATCACTAAACACTCAAGTTCGAAGATCGGATTTTTGCTTTCAACCGTGACCCACTGCAACACGCTCTCCTCCTTCATAACGCAACTGAAGAAAAAGCAAGCTCCGCTTTCCGGAAGAAGCAGAACACCTCCCAACCCGACCGGGAAAGAAGCACTTGGTTCAAAAGATGCATCAACGAAGACATGAACAGTGGAGTCAGCAAGCCTCTGCAAAAGTCAAAATCAATTTTGTCGCGAAGCCATGTTAAAGCAGCCTTGCACTCCTGCGAGATAGCCGATGATCTGCACCTGGAAATGTGGTTTGACAAAATTCCCATTGCACGCACGGCTCTCCTGCCGTAGATCTGCGATTCAGCGAATAACAGTCTGCCTCTCAAGCGCTGGCCGTACTTCTGGCTCAACGATCCAGCTTCTAAGACATCATTGATTGCGTCTACCAATTCTCTTTTCCTTGAATCCGTGTTTCCAAACTGAGCCTTCCCGCACTTCGCTTCATCCAGGTTGATGAGTAAGCCCAACGCCTTCGCTTCCGGCCCAAAATCTTCCAGCTTGTCTTCGGACACCAGCCATCCCATCACCTTGAAAAACATGCCAGCCATACTGCTACAATGCCGAGACGAAGCGGTCTGGAGAAGAGCACATAGTCGTCGAAATAATTCGTCCAGAAAAAGGACAGCTGCACCGCCCCTAAGACCCAAAGGCTACGCGAAGCCCTACAGAATGCATTCACAGACGCTCTGCCTCCGAAGGGTAAAGCACAATGCCTGTACAGCTTGACACATGCATCCAAAGGATTCCAAATGGCCATGAAGGTCTTTTCACGAGCTGCATCCGACAGACTGAGCTGTTTGTAAGCCTTCCAAAGATCCCAAGTCTGAACCTTGAGGTCCGTGTCGACTACCCCAAGGGCATGGCAAGAGCAGAACCAATGCACCAAAGAAGCCGCAATAATTTCTGCCCCGTGCAACCCAACTGACTCCTGAGAGCTATTTGTCAGGTTGATCATGTAGCTGTGAAGTCGTCGATAGGCCTTATCTTCCGACCTTGCACAACCGGGAAACGTCGAGTCACCGAAGACCCAGGCCCCAACACAGTCTGCGGAAGAGGTCCATGAATCCACCCTCGATCCAATTTCTCACGCGTAACTCTATACAGCTCACAATCTGCTTCCGCATCTCCGCAACTGCCAGTGCCAGCCAGAATTCCCACATTCGTTCTTTCGGAAAAATCCACCAGGTCCTCCTCCACCAAAACAGCATATTTGCGCTTCCTTTTGTAAACCCCGGACGAAGGAATCTTGCCTGTAAGAGAAAAACCCTGGCCAATCTCCGCTGCAATATTGGAATCCGCATAATCCATTTCCTGAAGCAGGCGGCTCAGACCAATGCCAAGGGGGGAAAATTCATGTCCATAGAGGACTTCCATCAGGGCGCGCAAGGTGGAGCCCGGCAACTTCCAGAACGACGGGGCCAAGAGAGTGGGCGTGTGCTTTGCAAGCCCGCACCGAGCTTGAGAGCCAGCTTGCGCCGTCAAGGTGAGCGCAAGAAGCACGTAAAGTGCAAGATGGACTTGGAGCGCTGCCTCTTGGGACCCCGCCGGCTGAACGTCAGTGGCGGTGATCTTGCTCTTTAAAAATGCCAAGACTTCTAAAGCTTTTCTGCGGCACCAAGTCGGTGGGCAGGGCCTTAAGGCGGCGGGCTGGAAGATCGTCTTCTGGACATCGTGTTGAAATTTGAGCCCACCATCCTGTGCGACATCCGGAGCTGGAACTACACTACGTTTTCGGGGCAAGGCCAGCCCGGTTTGCACGGAATACAGCCGCGCGCTGACAACGCGCCCGCGGCTTCTGGAGGGCAACGCGCTGGTGCTCAGCGCCCTTGAGATCATTGCTAAACACCAACGTAACTTGTCCAACCTCTTGTCCAAGTTAGGGGGTTGCGTGGCCGGGAGGTTTGTCCAATCCACTGTTTTTCATGGAATCGGGGCTTTGCTTGGATTTATGGATTGTCTCGCTGGCATTTTTAGTGGGGAGGAGAGTGATGAAAGGCTCGGGGGAGTCCGTCAGACGCTGAACTTGAACAAGGAACTTGGACAAATTA